GCAACGAGACATAGCAAAGTCATAATTGAATTTAATCAAAATAAACGGGCGTTACAAAAAATATCTCAAAGAGATTGCTCAAATGTATCACCAAATTAAACCAAACCAAGTCATGTGTGCAACTAATCAGGCATGAATCAAAAGTCAAATAAACCACATGATCTTTCAAAGCAAAACAACAAGTATTTAAGAACACTTAAGGCATGGTATGAGAGACATGAAATACATGTATATTCAAATCACTTGATCATAGAAGAGAATCACATGTTAAGGGTAAGGTAATGATCAAGGTCTCAAGAGATTCACACATGTATTTACAAATGAACATGAACTTGAAAAAGTAATAACAATCATGTAACAACAAGGGTATACAAGTTCACCATATAAAGTAGGTTAATATAAGATTTATAGGGTTCATACAACTCAAGAAGTTCAAGGAGAATCAAAGGATCAATCAAAAGATCAAAAGGAAACCTAAGAAACCCTAAAAAGGTCATATACTTTGATCATGAATAAACACCACATGAAATAATATTTTTGGAAATTTCTCAATATAAATAAAAAATAGGCATAATTATAACATTTTACAAAAAGAATGGGCAAATAATCATTTAAGATGAAGGAGTTATGACAAGTTGAAGTTGTGAAGAAAATAAAGAAATTAAGTGACAAAAATAAGGGAAATGGTTACCATGGATGTTGAACCCACGTTGCTAAGGTTACAACCTAAAACACTGGCCAAACCAGTCAATGCACGCTTTGTGATAATTGATGGAAGCAAACAATAATATATCAAATTTATAAAATAAATCATAAAAATGGCAAAAGGGTTGATCAGCAGGATCGAACCCAGGTTAGGCATGTCAAAAGGAAAGGCAAGGCAAGGCTTCTACCACTGGGGTGGCTGTTACATCCAAACATAATACGCTTCTCAAATATTATATTTTTAGAACACTATCAAATGGTCAACTCAGCGCCACATCATGCCAAATCACCTCCACCTCAGATCCTACTCACCTCTTCTTCTTCAGCCTCGTTTCTCTCTCTTCATGCACTAGACAAAACCTCCATGGCCAGAATTTCTTCACCTCAGAACTCCTTCATCTCTCAACCACTTTCAAAGATGCAAAGACCAAAGTTAAAACTTTTCTCACAAGGATTTTAAATATATCATTGTATCATTCTCAAGACAACTGGGTAATTCACAAATCACTCATCAACCGTGTAGCATCATACAAACTCAACATGTAAGACTCAAGCTAAATAAAGTATGAAATCATTTAAAATCAAAAAAACAACACACATACTATATCTTTGTTGTTTAAAAGATAACAAAACAATGCATATGAGAGTGGAATGTCAGGATTCCTTACCTCTTGGAGAAAGTCGAAGGTTTTTTCTCAGCAAATGTAGTTGCAAAATAATCACTTTTTTAGCTTCCTTAAGCACTTCGAAACTTGTTTAGATGACTGGACTAGTTGGAAATGGATTGAAGCAAAGAACATGATCCTTCTTGCAACAATGGAGGTTAAAGATGGTGCAGGGTGCTTGGGGTGTTACAGAACCTCTCCAATGGATTCAATGAGGTCTATGAATGATTTAGAGATAGTTTGTAATGTTTTTTTATGTCTGGCACATGTGGAATGTGTATTTGAAGTGTTCTTGCAAGTTTAGAGGTATTTTGCAAGAGGAAGTGATTCTGAGAATGCAAGGTAGTTTGAAGGATTTTCTTAGGGTTATTTCTACTTATTTGGAGTGAGGATTTATGTCCTATTTATAGAGAGATTGGAGGTGTTGAGGTGTGGTCAGAATCTGAGTTCTTGCTAACTAAGTTACTTGGAAACTAACTTGGTTGTGATCATCACTTTCTCTTATTTCAAGTGCCAAGTACAAGAGTAGTTGGGATTAGAGCATGCTTCTGAAGATCATTTGTATTATGGAGTGCAAAGATGAGCAAAGGAAATGGCTCAAGGCTTATTTTAGGAAAAAGGTCATGCTTTATGAAAATGGTATTCTTCACTTTGTGTCAAAAATAGAAATAGCAAGTGGTTTGAGCTTTAACTCAAGGGATCAAGCTTCCACTTTTTGTGTAATGATCTGATTAAGTGAGATTTGCAATCAATCAAGTTTTGCAAAGCAAGATTGTGTGGTAGCCAATGGATTTTGCATCAAGTTCACCATGTTGGGATACTTGGAAATCAAGTTTAGAACCCTAACTTCATCTCTTCGAAACTCATAGCTCAAGAATGAGACTGAGGAGTTTTTGTACTTTTTAGAAATCCCTAAACATACCCTATAACTTTCATGTTTGATGAAATTCTTGAATAAAAAAGGATCATGGTGAAAACTGACCTTGAAGTTGGCTGAAAATTGAAGGAACAAAGCTGCCTTGAAAATATTCTAAGTGTTTTGAAATTCTTCCAAACTTTGAAGCTTCATAACTCAAAATCTAAGCATCGTTTGCTCATAGGTCACTATGACACTTTTTTTACATGAGGAAATATACAAATTGACCTTTGGAACTCAAAAAATGGATGTGTGAATTGGAAGTTATGATCTCTCAAAGTTGGTGCTAAAATTAGGGTTTTTCCACACTTAGAAAAAATTCAAGTTATCTAAGTTTTCTTCTTTTGCAAGAAACATATTAAATCTTGATTTCTTCAGGATCAAACTCATTTATTAAATATATATTGATGAAATTTGGCTTGAATGCTTCAATTTGGACCAAAAATCCTAAAAGTCAAAGAGTTGACTTTGTCAGATGAAATTTGTATCAGATGAATTCAACTGTGTGATCTTCAATGAATTTGCATCTTTGGACTTCTCAAACATCATAGGTAGGCTCCAAGGATGTATATGAACATGTTGAATCATGTCCAAAGGCTTGAGATCATGCTTGGATCAAAATTCATAGGCACAATTGACTTTTCCTAATAAAACCCTAATTTGGGGCCAGATGAAATTGAGTTTCAATTGACTTATACTGAGACCAATTTGTACTTGATTCTTGTTGAGTATAAGATCCTTGAGTGTATGGAACCTTGATTTGGTGATGATAAATCCAAAACATTGACTGATCAAGCAATAATCCTCTTGATTCCAAAGATGCAAAACCCTAATTCAGGTGGACCTCAACAACAACAAACTTGAAACAATGTTAGGGTTAGGAAATAATGCTTGATGCTGCTATAATGACAATAGAATCTAGGGGTCAAAATTTTGGATATGACACTCCCATTTTAATCTAATAAGAATGGTGTTATTAATAAAAAACACAATAGTTAAATATTAATACTAAGTTGTGTCAATTAATAGGTATATTTTGACATCTGCATTACCTAGATAAAAAACTTAATAATTATATGACATATTTATCATCATATGTATGCAGTCATTCTACCAATTGAGTTTATATTTAAGGGTAATGCTAACTTGTGCCCTAGGGGCACATGTTAGGAACTAAATGTAAAATATTTTCTTGAAACTTGTGTATTATTTTTATCAAAAATTTATAATTAATTCTTTTATTATTTTTTCCAATACAAATTTTCTATTTATAGATTTCTTAACATATGCCCTTAGAGCACAAGTTAGCATTATCCTAAATTTATTTCTAAAAACCGAACCAACCAAACCAATATAAATAGGAACCACCCAAACCAATATAAATAGCATTAATTTAATATAAATTTATTTTTAAAAACCAATCATACCGCATGTTTTTTTAACTTAAAAATTAAAACCACTCAAACCACAATACAAACACCTGCTAGATCTATTATGGTTACACCGAGTTTTCTCCACCCGAGAAGCTTGGCTTGGGATTCATTCCCATCTACAATTTTATTTTCTTCATCAATCAAATACATTATATTTCCATTGTTTTTTCTCTTGCTTGCTTAACTTGAGATTTTGAATTCCGAATTCTCATATAATTAATAAGCCTCTTGGGACATTCATGATAGAACATAATCAAAACTTTTTACATCAATTTTTTTATATACTTCTTGTAATGTAGCATTTACCTTATCATTCTTTTCTACGGTAATGTAGCATTTCACTTATCATTTTTTTCTACAGGACATTAGTTATAGCTAATGACAAAAACTGCAGAGCAGCATTGTCTCGTCACAGAAGAGCTTTAAAAATGTCCAGAGGTCATAGGCCAAACTGCATCAAAGAAAGGACATGGATTGAGTCCTTAAGCGGATAAGTCGATAGATGTCACTCGCGCTCTGGGTGTCTGGAACATTGAGGAATGAAAGAAATAAGTGAAAGGAATGCTGAAATATAGAATGTTTTTAGTAGTCGAAATGCTGTAGATTTTGCATAAAGGAGACTTCAAGAACATATGAGCAACTATGCTGCAAGGAATTGTTAATGAAACAATCAAGAGAAGATCAACAGACAACTTGACAGTTGTGATAGTGTGTTTTAACTCAACCCATCACCACCTCTGGTTGCCGAAAGAACGCGAGTAAGTAGAAGCATATATGTGGAAGGACTTCAGAATCTTCTACTCATGCCAAATTTTAACATATTCTTACTTGTTCTGGCTGAAAACTACATCCAGAAACCAATTATCAAGTTCTCCATTGTGATAAAACTCTACGGACAAGTAAGGCATAAGAAACAACTTGTCATTACACAAACCAGCTCTAAGTTTGACGAAAACGGGTGGCGTGGTTCCATAAATGTCACCAACCCATAAATCATCTAATGTGAAAACCATAGAAACAATTGTGAAGAAAGCAACAAATCGACTGCATGAACAGTAAGTGTTGAATTGTCTCATCTAGATATTCTTCTACTTCTGAGTTTCCAATCAGCAAATAAGAATGAAAACATTATACAAAGTGACAAATGTTAATGAAGCATTCCAAAAATATATCTTTTTCTTTAATAGCTAATAGTTATATACTGTGAAAAATGTGTGTAATGTATAATCAATAAAGAACGCCTATACTAAAATAGAATCCGTATTTTTGAAATATTTAAAATCACTTTCCTGAAAGTTTCTCTTGTATCTCAGTTCTTGCAACTCGAATCAAGAATAAACCAGCAAAGAAAATAGACAAAACGAGCATAAAAAATACACTGTTCCATCCCCTAGTTGAAACATAACCTGCTAAAAGTGGTCCAAGAGCAGCTCCGACGGAACCAGTACCATCAATGATTGCAGTAACAGTAGCCAGTGCCCGAGAATTCCCACCACTAAAGCCCTGAGTACCGAGATCGGCAGCCACAGCAGTTGTGATTAGCGAGTATGGACCATTCACCAAAAATCCAGAAAGAAACATCAAAGTGATGTTGGTAAACATAGAGATGCTCCCAAGAAAACGATACAAAAGAAGGGCTGGAATTGATAGAAACAAGAACATAATTGAAGTAACAGCACGCGCTTCAATCATATCAGATATGAAACCGGCTGTTATTCCTCCTAGGACTCCTCCAATGTCAAATATTGTTGAAAGTAACCCAGCAGTTTTGTGAGATAGATTAACACCAGCAACCGCTGCAACAAATACCAAATAACGAAGTCAGGAAACAACATTATGGTTTATGAATAAACTGCAATTAATTTACTCAAAATTGCAATTTCCAAGAACCAAACTTCCAAGACACTGTATTAGAGAGGTAGAGCCACCAGTAATAAACTAAATGAATATGATTAAAACAAGTTAATAACTCTATCTGATATCATATATTTTTACATCAAAGAACAATTATTACCTGTGTGCCTGATGTAGAAGGGTAACCAGTATAAGAAAGTGTAAGCAACAAATTTTGAGAAAAAGAGACAAAATGCAAACGGAGCGACTCCAGGTATCTTCCATGCCTCTAAAAATCCAATAGCAGATGAAGAATCTGTAACCGAATTATCAGGATCAATAAGCTTTACTTCCTCGGAATCAACTTTTGGCGGATCCTCCGCGCCGTCTATCTCAACAGTCATTTCAACGTCCATTCCAGGATGCGTGAACCCTATATCCTCCGGATTCACAACAAGAAACAAAAACACCAAAACCCCAACTAAAATGATCATAAATCCAGGCACCACAAATGACCAACCCCATCCAAATTCCAAGACTCCCGAAGCAATAACCGAACCAATTATATTCCCCACCGAGGTATGCGAATTCCACACCCCCATTATCAATCCCCTCTTTGATTCCCCGACCCAATTCCCCACAACTGCAACAACACAAGGCCACCCAATCGACTGAAACACTCCACAAAAAATCTGAACACCGACGAAAAATCCTAACACATGAACATCTAACCAGTATCCTAACCCAAAAAGTATTGTAAAAACCCCACTACCCATCATCCCAAACACAAGAAACAACCTCAAATCAATCCTATCTCCAACATGCCCTGCCAAATACATACCAACAGAGTAAGCAGTGAGAAATGCGAGATCAACCTCGCCGAGCCGGTGGGTTCCCTGAGTTCCATTAAAAGGGGGCCAACCTAAATCAATACTGGAATCCAAAACCTGAAATTGAGTTAAATTGGTTGGAGCTGTAGGTCCCAAAACACTCTTAACAATACTGGGAGGCTTCCTAGATGCATGAAATGAAGCATATGCAAGAAATGTGATAAAAAGAACACAAATTTGGTGGAATAGTAGGGTTTTGTGAGGGGGTTTCAGATTTGGAAAGAGATTCAAAGCTGGAGCTAGGCTCAAACTCTTGGAATTTGATTGCATGATTACTCATCAGGATTCAAGTATGCATGTTGAATCTTATTACTTAACCTAATTTAGCACAGTGAACAAAGATCATTTTTTTCCTTCAAAAATTCTTAATATATTACAATCTAAGATCTGAAGAATGTGAAAGATGGATACAAAATTGAAGATTAAACTGACTTACAAGATTGATGGCACCAAATCTTAAACTTGTCGTTTTTTGATTTATGAGTAATAAAGAAGAAGCTTCTGCATATGAAAAACAAAAAGGGGTTTTGGTTTGCAGTGGCAGAATGGTGAGAGAAAGAGGGGATTGAGAGTAAATATTAAAACGGGTTTGCGTCGGAAACCGGTTTGTGTCCGGATCGGGCTCGGCGATTTCTAGAAAACGCCAAATGGAAAATTAAGGCTTAATTCCAATTTTATCATATACAAGTATGGTCAGCGCGTGAGATCTTGCACTCTACTCTATGAATAATTTTGATTAAAAAAGCTCTAGGGATGTTGACCTTTCTTCATTTTTTTAATTTCACCGTCTTGTTTTCATGGTTGAGTTCTGCATGTATCTTGGAAATGTCTCAATTAGAATAGCATTGATAAACAATTGTTCAAAGACAAGAATAGTTTTGAGGCGCCAAGGCTTTCCAAAAATTTTGTCGTCGTCAATAACGTTTTTAATATCCAAGTTAATTAGTTCCCTAAACTATGTGTAAAAGGGTATTGGGTAGCTGGGGTGGACAGGAACCCAAATAACCCTCACTTACTGGTATCTGAGCAATTATTCCTGTTGAGACATTAAAAAAGATTTTGGGCGGGTTAAATAAGTCCAACGGGCCAAACAGTTGGAAAACTTGGTTTTAAAGGGATTGGTCTGGGCGGGCCGGGTACTAAATACTGACTCACGGGTACCTTGACCCGCCCGAATAGAAGAACTAAATAATATTCAGCCAACACTCATTTTCCCTTATTCCACTTTCGTTTCTCTCTCTCTCTCTCTCTCTCTCTGTGTGTGTGTGTGTCTAACATAAAAACATGAAACCCTAACAAAGACTTACTGCCTCAAGTCTTTTCACTGATCACAACCGTCCTTCATCCTCTTCTCATCTATTACCTTTGTTCCTCATCCTCTTCAGTCTTCTCATTAATCACCACCGACCCATTTCACTTCTCTTCTTACTCATATTTTTGTGGTTTCTTATGAAGTTTGAAGACTTTTGGAAGTTTTAAACGAAGGTTACATCTTTTTCAGCTAAAGGTTTGAACTCTTTCTTTGAGTTAATTTGTTTTGTATGATTCTGTGGCTTGTGTTTTCTATTTATTTCTTACCAAAGTTGTGATCTTTTTGGTAATAGGAAGAGCTAAAGGTTTAAAGAATTTTGGAAGTTTGAATCGAAGCCGACATCTTTGTAAGTCTTAGGTTAGATGTTAAATTTAAGTGACATTGCCTCATACATTTTAAAGACTAAAATGAGTGTTTAGTGTTTGTTTACTCATTTTTATTTAGGAATGGAAAGTTGTGTAATTTTGACAATGATGTTTTTGTTACTGCTAGAAGGCTTAGAGTAAACCTGTGGTGGTGGGTCATGTTGTTCTTATAATTGAGATTTTCAATGCTCATACATACACTAAGGAAGTCAGGCTTCATGTGTGTAATGTGGTTCCATTGGGTTGTTTTATGGTTTATGAACTGATGGTATTGTCTCATGAGTCAAATTGGATTTAATGAATTGAATCTTATGTGTGCAATATAGTAAACTTTAATTGGTGAATGGGTTAAATTGTATGAAAAGGTAAGGGTTTGATTCAAGTTTTAGTTTTTCTATTTAGGATATGTATTATTTTGTATTTTATTTATGTATGTTGCTTCATATTTGAGTCGTGTAATTTAAGAATCTTTTCTAATCTAAGACTTTTAACATTCATTCTTTTGATTTCGACATATTCCATGTTTCTAGTAGGAGGAGTTGCTCAATTTATTTTGAATAGGTCTCCAAAGAATGTGGTCCCTTGCAAACAACCAAGTAGATGCACTCACGTTAGTTTGAGCAAATTTTTTTGCAAACAAGTTGTTCTTATTTTGAATAGGTCTCCAAAGAATGTGGTCCCTTGCAAATTGTATGAAAAGGTAAGGGTTTGATTCAATTTATTTCACATAACATCTATTCTTAATCAAATGCTAATATAGTGTTACATATAAAACTTGGTTTGAGTGCTTATGCACATGATCCACAACCGGCAGCAGAATCTCTTATTTCTCTTTTGAATAAAGCAGAAAGTGTCGTTCCTATGGAGTATCGCCCTATGACACCCGTTAGAGTTGGGGTGTGTATAGTTTATATATATTTTTATCTATACATATTTTTATTCATCTGAATTATATGTATCCTAACTATTCTAAATGCAGGCGAGTGGAGGGTTGCGGGCTTTGGAAGGGGATGCTTCTGATAGGATCTTGCAATAGATGATCTCATGTAAATTGTAATAAAGATGTCAATATTACTTTAAGAAAGAAAATATCTTGTAGTTGCTTGTGATAAATCAAAGATATGCACCAAAAGGACTAATGAATGGTTTGCAAGTGTTGCGCTCACAGGTCATCAAATCATAAGAAATAGTCTTATATATGTCATTTGTTGAAAAACATAACTAAATGGTTTATAAACCCTAAATTAATTATTTTGCTCCATGTTTATAGGCTATTGAACTCTTTAGGAATTTAGAAGTAATAAGTTTGCTTTAAGCATGTTTATATGCTATTGATTTTAGGATAACCACTATAAAATTCTTTACATGTTCATTACTGGAAGCAAGTTTACGGAGGAAGCGAGGGATCAACTGGCGTAAGATTGCTCACATTCCTGACATAATTATCAATGATGAATTGATCACATAAGTTTCATGTATAGGTGAGCCTCTGAAATTTTTTTCTTTTCTTTTTTGTCTTATTATGTAATAATCAATAATTATTATTAATTTCAATAATAACAACAAAACAGTATTATAACACTATCTCTTTTTATTTTTATTTTTTAAATATAGAATTATCTTCTGCGTCATCTCTGATTCTTTTCAATCTTGCCGTTTTGAGAAACCAAATTCCCATGAACGACATGCAACCAAGTCTAGAAAATGTTTTACTGATTTGGAACAAATGAAAAGGAGAAATAACAACTAACTTCAAATAATTTGTTAGGTACTCTATTTGTCTTAATGACTATATGTAGTTTAATGAGTTTGTTTTTACATGTTATTTTTTACTCTTTTAAGTATCTTGCAGGATTTAGAAAAAGAGGTAGAACTCTTCTCTTTTATGAAAATGAGTGATTTGGAGATCAATTGTGTTGGGGTGGACCTTATTAAAGATTATGCTCAAATGGGTACAATTAATGTTGTGGTGTATCAAAATTAAGTTAGTACGATTTCTTTTTCTATGCCTATATTTGCATCATGTTACTTGGTTGTATGATGTAATTTTTGCTCACATTTCGTTTTGGTCTGTACCATGTTATTTTTGCATCTGCAAAATTACTTATTTCTGCTAGGAATTGGTGTCGATCATGATACAGTTAATGCAACTGGCCAGGCTTTATCATGTAGTTTGTCTTGTTGGTAGTTTAGTTAGGCTTTATCATCTACAAAATGTTTGTTTTAATTTTCTTGAATCCTATGTATGTTAACAAACACTGTCCAACTCCATCATAATTAGTGCCTAAAATATTGTCCATGTCTAATATTGTTTGCTTCTGGTTACGGCTATGTTCAATTATAAATTGAAAACCATCAAACTTGACATGCTATTTTTATGTCAAGTTTGTATTTGCTAAACTGGAGGTAGAACTGTCAAAGTTTTCTCCACAAATCTGAATGATGTTTGGGGAGTATGCTGGCCTTCGCTGAGAGTTTCTCGACAAAAGCCATCACACATTTATTCTATATTTCACGCATTCAGAAAAGGAGCATCCAGGCCATAAGGAGTAGAGAGACATTCAGAAAAGGATCAACAATATATCCAGTTCTGTTGTAGACATTGCAGAACCATTTTCTTGATCTGTAGAGAAGACATTTCAACATATGAAATAAATTTCTATTTCCCACTTAGATTTGACATTGAAATAACAGTAGAAAATCTTAACTTTTTTGTTCCATCTCGAACCCATGTCAACAATTCATTTGGTGAAGTAAATTTTTTATCGATCTTGAACTGTAACCCGAAATACCCGTCTGTATTAACCCGAACCCGTCTAAACTGGACCCATCCAAACTGAATCTTAGTTTGGGCAAAAATGGGTCTATAAGGACTACCCGCAGTTTAGGCTGGGTTGTTATTTTGGGCCCGAACCCGCCCAGCCCGGCCCGTTGTCCAGCCCTAAGGGTAGCAATTGTGATTTAGATGAGTGTTAGCTTAGATATGATTCATGCAAGTACCATATGCATGGTAGAGTTATTTGGCCAAAAGGGTTTTCTTCCTTATTGTAGTTGTCTTGAGAAACAAGTAATCCATCCTATGGAAGGCTATCGGAAAATGGGGCCTCCCGTCCATTGGCAAGGGATTCTTTCAATTCTCCTTTTTTCGCTAAAACATCTTAGACGAGTTAAATTAGTGAACTCATGGAATCTCGATCTAGGTTTTCTAAAGTTGTTCCCTTGGACCACCAACCTCAATCATAATAACATCAAACAATCTTCTACTCAGGTTTGGGTAAGGATATATGGATTATCACAAGAGTATTGGCGCCCTAAAATCCTTTTCGCTATTGTTAGCAGTATTGGAACTCCTCTTTTCACGGATAATCGGCCACAAATAAACCTAGTTTTGATCTCCCTTTTGGGAATTATGTTAGGGTTTTGGTGGACATGGAAGTTAAAAAGGAGCTCAGGCACCAAATCCTGGTTGAAAGAAAAGGATTTGCATTCTTTGTAGATTTCGAATACAAAAACCTTCCATCATTTTGCAACCACTGTAAAACCGGGGACACTCAGTGGAGGTTTGCAAAAAAGTTGTGAATTATGATCTTGTT